TTGTTTGTTAGGTAAAACTTAATGATTGAAAGTGAAATTGAAAGAAATGAACAAAAAATTGACCAAAATGATGATTTTCAAAGTTCGGTGACCAAATTGTAAATATTCTATATTTGATTCAGACCATATATCGAGGGGTGAAGAATGTGGGGTGTCAATGGGACAAGAATAAAAACGATGGAGTGAAATTGCATGAAAAAGGACAAACTCATACCCAGGAGTGAAATTTGCAATTGGTCCCAGACTTAGCTTGCCCATGCAAATTCACCATCGTACGCAAGGCATAAAAGTTGGGAACCCGAGGCTAATTTTTTATTACCATGCGTGAGAAACTAAATATACCACACATAAGCATAGGCTTAATCTAGGCTAATGGGGATAACTTTCCTTCTACAATACAAATTCTTTTGGTACTCAAATTGGACATGATTTTGACCTAATTTTCGACCATTATATACATAGACAATGGTTAAACATTAGAGGATCCTTGCTTGCTTCTCAATTCAATACATATCATAAAATCTTTCAAGAAAAATGGGTCAATTCACCATCTTTTGGGAGAGAGATCAAACCTAGAAAAGAATCCAAGGCAATAAACATCAAGAACTTGAAGAATCAAAGCTTGTGATGAAAATGAACCTTATTATTGCTTTTTCTAATTTAAAGATTAAGTAACTTAGTTTATTTATGTTCTTGAATTATTTAAATACTTGTATTCCATTTAGATATTAAATTAGTTACTTGTTATATTAATGAAATGTTAACAATAAGTTTAGAACTTTGCAATTTCAACACAGGGCCAATACATGTGGGAAATAATACGTATAATGTTTGCAATCATATAGGTAATCGTGAGATTTAATGGATTATTTCACATATGAATTCGGAATACGAATATGATCAGATTGTGCTTAGAACATGTTTAACTTATTTCGAGAGCGATAATTAAATAAAATTAGATTATCAATTATCAATATACACAACTCATACTAAATTACATAGGTCGATAATTGGAAATAAAATAATAATAGGTGAATCTGAAATTCAAACAAACTCATCTCATATTTCATATAAAACATCTTTAGATAATTAGAATTTAAATTTTGAAACAAATAAATAAATCTCTTTTATGCTATGTATATTCGAATTTGACAACACATTAATATAGTTCAATTTAGAGTTTATTCCATATCGGACAATATTCTTTATTCAACAATCCCTTACGCTTGCAGGTATCACACTTTAGGCATCGTTGTTGAGAAATAAATTGTTTAAAGTAAATTTATTAAATTCTTTTGGATTTGAAATATTTTTTAGTTGTTATTTACTATTAATCACATAACTGGTCTATCTTTTATTTGATTTTTCTTTTTAGGTACTATTTAGCAGTTTATGTAAGATTCTAACGAACTCGAGATCCTACTGTTGGATCTCAAAATTGAAAGGATCTTTAGGCAAAGAAAATGAAAACAGAGATTAGAGAGAGAAGGGGAAATTGAAATTGCCGAAAATTAGAATAAATTAAGCTAAGTTACCATCAATTCTACTAGTTCAACAAACGACATTCGTCAATGAAGGCAAAGTGTTATTTGGGGATTATGAGATTCTTATTATGCTCCTATGCCAACTACCATAATATATCTTATTTTTGGGCAGGCTAATTTCCATCTTCGACCAAAAGTCATCAATTTGTTTCAAAATCATCAAGATATTAGATTTTTCGAAAAAGCAACTGAAAATCCATAGTAACATGTTTGAGCTTTTCTAATACTTTGTTAGGTCATTAGTCATGAAGGGATGTCAACGGATGTCTTTCGAATGCATCTATTCCCTAATACCTTAAAGGATAGGACAAAAGATTGGCTATGCTCATTACCTATCGAGTGTATCGTCCCTTGGAATGTTATTGTACAAAAATTTACAATGAAATTCTTTCCAACATCTTGAGTTCATCAGATCGGAAATGAAATACATACTTTCAAGCTCTTTTAGACAGTGAACATGATATATCAACATACACCGGTTCGTGAAGACTACGGGGTAAATTATACAATTGTAGTTGCCCTTTAGCCTTCACACATACAATTCAACCTAACGAGGTTAGTTATGCATAAAACTTCCAAGAGCAGTAAAATAACTCTCACTCCAACACATATAATTCATGATGCGAAACCGCGAACGGGATACACATGGAAATCACGAAATTAATTTGAAAACGCCGGGAAAGCCCAAATTCAGGTTGTAGAAGGTAGAATCTCGACCCGCAAATTATTGAACCAAGCAACCAAACAAAAACGAAGTTTGAATGACCTCTTGATTACAAAATCACCGAACCTCGATTTGCGAACGCCACAAAGAGTTAGGTAGAATCTCGACCCGCAAATTATTGAACCAAGCAACCAAACAATAACGAAGTTTGAATGACCTCTTGATTACAAAACCAGCGAACCTCAATTTCTATACGCCACAAAGGGTGCCTAATCCACAAATATAACAATATTTAATAAGTTCGGTAGTTCATTCAAGAACCATTAGAGAAAAATTCTAAATTTCATATTCATGCCAAAAGTCTAAGTTATTTTACAATGAAGGAAATAAACCTATTTATACTAAGCCACAAAACCTTAGTTAAAACGTGCAAATATCCTAAAAGATTACAAGAATATGGAAAAGAATAGAAGTCTAATGAAATAAGAAAACTCGCGAAAATTGCCAAAATTCTTCCCGGATTTGTACAATGCGGCCGCATGGTGTATTTCCATGCTATCGCATGGTTATACATTTTGCCGCCTGCTTGTTCTCTGCTTGTTTCTGTGCGATCACAAGCCCGAAAGTACCATGTGGCCACGTGGCCTTGTACAGAATTTCGTGACAATTCTAAATTGTACTTATGGGCAAAATTTCGACACCTAAGTTGAGAGTTATGCCCATTTTAATCCACGCTACTTGTTTCTTTCCAAATATCTTCCAAACCTTGAATCCAACTTGTTTCGGCTTCCGATCCCAACATGACACTTGGTCTTTGACTTGTTGGCTTCTTCAATTTGGACTCCGTGACCCGACCAAGTGATTGCCTAACTGAAAACGTCAGGAAATCCCAAATTCAGATTGTAGACAGTAGAATCTCGACCCGCAAATTATTGAACCAAGCAACCAAACAAAAACAAAGTTTGAATGACCTCTTGATTACAAAACCAACGAACCTCAATTTCTATACGCCACAAAGGGCGCCTAATCCACAAATATAACAATATTTAATAAGTTCGGTAGTTCATTCAAGAACCATTAAAGAAAAATTCTAAATTTCATATTCATGCCAAAAGTCTAAGTTATTTTACAATGAAGGAAATAAACCTATTTATACTAAGCCACAAAACCTCAGTTAAAACGTGCAAATATCCTAAAAGATTACAAGAATATGGAAAAGAATAAAAGTCTAATGAAATAAGAAAACTCGCGAAAATTGCCAAAATTCTTCCCGGATTTGTACAATGCGGCCACATGGTGTATTTCCATGCTGTCGCATGGTTATAAATTTTGCCGCCTTCTTGTTCTCTGCTTGTTTCTGTGTGATCACAAGCCC